TATCATAGTCAATCCCTTTTTATTGAGCAAATCCTTTTAGCATTAACTTAGCCTTGTACCACACCTCAACTCCATGAGATCTTTCTTTCTTTGCAGACACACATTTGCACCCAATAACATTCCTTCCCGAATGAAGCTTCACCAGCCTCCATGTAGCATTATTCAAAAGAGAATCTATCTCTTAATTCATTGCTTCTCTCTAAAAATCATAGTCTGGGCTCTCTTCCTTATAATGAAAATGAATTTCAGCCATCATGGTCAAAAGTACAAATGCAATATGATACCTCAATCAAGCTGGTTTTAAAAGATTTTGGCGTTTGACCCTGCTCCTCATAATAGATTTCTGAGTAGGGACTACATCCTCAACTTTTCTTCAACCTCCTCTCAAGTACTATCAATAGTTACACACCTCTTGAGCTGTAACTAAATCAAATACCTAAGTAGGAGTGGGCAAACTATGTCAAATAGAGTTGTATCCAATTCCAACTTCTGCTCATATTATTGGTCCTAATAGAACTCTCCACATGTTTCGATTCTCAAGTCTTTAACATGCCCCCTTCATCAAATGTAACATTTATGCTACTAAAAAATTTCTTCTTTACCTAATAAAAAAAGTGAATTCATTAACTCTGTACTTGAAGCCAATAAAGATCACCTTCGTTACTTCTGGTTCCAACCTATCATTCTGCACATGGTAGTAAGTTGGGTAGTCAAACATTCTCATGCGCTTATAATCATTAACAGAATGTCTCTATTTTGATATCTTCTTTCCAATAGCTGCAGAAGACGGAGTGTTCTCCAAGTAACAAACATAATCTATAGCCTTAACCCATTAGGCTCTATCCCAACGTTGGACAACATAAACCGAACTTTCTCCAGTAAAGTTTGGTTCATCCTCATTAGCACCCATTCTATTGTAGTGTCTCTCAAATAGGGAAGTAATGCTCTATCAAAACTCTCTAGCACTCTTATAAGAATCCATTTGACGTGCATTCACCCAAATTATTTGAACTAATATATTTGATTTTTTTTTTTTTTACTTTGAGTCTCAAATCTCAATACTCCTTTTTAATTCATAAAAATCTTCAGCACCTCTCTCTTGCACTTCGTGGTGTGCATCTAAATATATTTAGAGTATCATCTATAAAAGAAACAAAGTCTCTCTGCTCACTGAATGATGTCATCTTCAATGGGTCTCAAATATGTGTGTGAACATACTCTAAAATATCCTTTGTGTTTTGGATGACAATATCACAATATAACTGTCTTACTGTCAACCACACAATGTTCACTGAAATCGAGATTGCAAGTGCTCACTCTTTTGATCAGCCCTTGCTTCACCCAAGCCTAAAGTGAAGCTTCTCCAACATGAGGTGGCTTGCATATGTCATTATATAGTGGTGTCCGACGAATCATCAATGATAACAGTAGTTTTAGTAAATGTACTACCCTTAAATATCTTTTCTTTTTATTTAGTTTTTTGGGTTCCTTGAATATAGTCAATGTACTACCCTAAAGACAATAAATGTAGTGCTATCAAATTCCTTTCATAAAAATTAGTGCTCTAGGACTCATCCTCAAAACTCCTAATTCAATAACTATCTTATAGCCCTTTGCCTCTAAGGCCTCGACTAACATCAAATTCTTTCTGATATCCAAAACATGTCTAAAATTTGAAATTTCTTCTAATTTTCTGTCTCATTTTGTTCTTACCTTTTATTTCTCTAAATTATTATCTTTCTCTGAAAATTTTGAAATTCTATGAAATATATTATATTATTTACATGACTAATTGAAGGAGAGGGAGAGACCCTGAATATAAAAAAAAAAAAATAGCCGCATAAATTAAGATAGAAATGAAGTTAAACTGCAAAAACGTTTCTACGCGACGAAAGAAAAACAGACCCAAAATTTATTAAATAAACTGATTCCTTGAAACATTCAACCATGCGCATTTACGAGTTACGACGGGAATGAAATAAAAAAAATATATCATTTATTTTCAGTAAATATATTAATGATACGCCACCACAAATTTTTATCATCAGGCACGAATCTTGAGACAATATTTTGAGCAAAAAATATTTAAATCTTAATAAAAAGTCATCCAGAGCTCAGATTTCAGTAAAGTTATAGTCAAACTGACCGACTCGATGAGACGGAGCTAATGATATCAAAGTTAGTCCAATCCGAGTCAAATCAAGCCCAGATCAAGTCATTAAATCATTCTTGAATGATGTTCGTAGGCATTTGAAAGGTCAAACAGATGTCAAATCTAGCGAGTTCATAGTCAAATCGAGCGTCTCGACAAGACAAACCCAACGAGCCCAAGATCGCTCGATTCCGACATTGTAAAGGCACTCATATGTCCATCAGACGTCATCTGATCGAGGGAAGTTCTCCGGACCGTCCGATCAAAATGGTTTATATTTCTGCATTAATTGCACCCAAAACACTATAAATAGAGCTCCACCCTTCACATGAGGGAGAGGAGGCTTGAGAGAGAACTTGAGGCTTTGAGAAAGAGCTCAAGTCCAACATCGACAATCATCGACCACCATCGATTGTCAGCGACCACCGTCGGCCACTGTCGATATCGCCGACCTCCGTCGACCATAGCTGACCGTCATCGACTACCGTCGACTACCGTTGACATCCGTCAACCACCACCGATCGTCGGTGACCACCACAGACCTCCATCGACCACCTCGACCATCATCGACCACCTCGACCATCATCGACCACCATCAATCATCGTTAACCGTCATCCACCGTCGATAATCGCCGACCATCATTGACCGGACACCGTTAGGCAATGTTGTAATCTGAAAATCCAGTAACTATTTCCCGTCTGTGGGACAAGGGGTCGTTGTAATCATCAACATATAGTTGATTTTTATAACTTGGTCAGGCTCCGTGGTTTTTCACTTCTACGGGTTTTCCACGTAAAAACTTTTAGTGGCATCACTAGTTGTTTCACTTTCATCTGAATTTGTGTTGAATCCTCGTGCAACGCTAAGCCTATAATCCATTACTCTACCGCCGAAAATTTTTTAGCACGCATCATTAAAAAACTGAGTATTTTTAAAGAAAATTGGTGATTTTTTTTTCCAATTTTATACTTATTCTATAGGCATTAAAAATACTAATTTCGTAGAAAATATATTCATAAAATTTATTTTAACATAATATAACGCTAGTTAGATATATGAAAACCTTTTTTTCTTGACCTTCATGCGACAAAATATCTGAAGTTATGCTATTTTAATATATCTATAAAGTATTAGTACATTAATTTCTGAAATCATTAATTGTATGTTTTATAGAATTAAAAAAACACTAAAAACGACAAAATCAAACAATGAAAACTAAATATGATTAAAGTAAACATAAAAATGTACTTAATTTCTCTGTTAAAAAAATTAATTATGGACGTACTTCTCATTAAATGTCGCCTTCCTTGCAGCCTCGCAGCACATGAATTAATTGGATTTTGGGCTATTGACTTTCTTTGAGAGAAAAAAAAGGATATCTTATCAGAATTTAAATAAATGCCCCAAAAATTAATTATTTGCAAAAAGAGATCAATTTTATATTGCACATCAAAAGTATGACAAGGATACGAGGAAAATAAAGAAGGAGCCACTGATAGAAAATTATGAGTTCCATTTATCTGATCGAGTGCAGTCGTTCGAGCCAGAGTAAATAAGGCCAAATCCGACTGAGTCATGAAAGATAACCGAATGATTAGAACCCGAGTCATTCAGTCAGAAACTAGACTGCAAAAAGAGATCAATTTTATATTGCACATCAAAAATATGACAACGTTAAACTTACAGTCAAGAGGATACGAGGAAAATAAAGAAGGAGCCACTGATAGAAAATTATGAGTTTTATTTATCTGATCGAGTGCAGTCGTTCGAGCCAAAGTAAATAAGGTCAAATCCGACTGATACATGAAAGATAACCGAATGATTAGAACCTGAGTCATTCAGTCAAAAACTAGACAAAAGGATATCCAAACCAATCAGAACCCAACTCGACTAAAAATCTAGCTCATCGACACTCCAATCATACTAGGGTGTCCGAAAGCTCTCCCGTCTATTATTAGCAGTCGATGGCTAGACTAACTCAACGAAATGGCAATGCTGACTAAACCAAACTTGTCCAATTTGCTCTGTCAAGTGGAAGCGATACAAGCCCAGCCGAACAAGTCAGAGCAGTCGAGCGATAGACTCATACCTATAAAACACTTGGAATATCTTGTACATGCCTTATTAAAGTAAGGGCAAAAATGTAGCGCCAACATGTTGTGCTCTTTCCCCATTAAAAAGGAAAAATTATTACGCCCGAACTCTGAACATAGAACTACGTCCAGAGTCCAATAAAATCATACCACCTAAAAAAAATTTTGTTTTAGCACAAGGGAATATTCTCCCGTGTTATTCGTGTTATTCTGTGTTATTCAAGTGTTATTGTGGTGGTATTCATGTATTATTGTGTTCTGGAAATATTTTCGGTGTTAAAATAACACAATAACACATCAATATCATCACAATAACACCTAAATAATACGAAATAACACGGGAGGAATATTCCCCTGTGTTACTGGGCCGGATCACAAAAAAATGAATTTTTTTTTTCCTATCAGCTTCACGTGGAGGTGATTCATTGGGAACCCAGACCTAATAATTTTTTTTATTAAAAGAGAGATCATTTCATGTACAAAAGAGGTGAGTTATACACAATTTTAGTCGAGAAGATCGAAAAAGATCAGCATGATTGCTCGTCTCTATCTCTCTTTGATTCACGGACCAATCATGATATTTGAGGAATTAAAAAGACAAAAATCTCTGCCGCTCGGCTCAAATTCGTGCGTAAGATACTTCTGTGAAAATTTTCCACAACCGCAAATTTATCTCATCTCTGCTGTCCCAGCGTGCCACCTGTTCTTAGACCAAGCCCCCTACATAAAAGTTGAAACACACTGATGCCATATATACAGATGCACCTCAATCTTCTATCAGTACGTTCTACAGCCAAAAATAAAAAACCAAGCTTCTTCTCAGAGAGAGAGAGATGAGGGCTATCATCTCAAGCTATGTAGCCATTGAGGCTCATCAAATCACCCTGCTTCTCTTCTTCTTCTCGCTGTGTCTGCTCCACTCCATTAATATCGTCGAAGCAACGGTCCACCACTTGAAATGGGAGATAAAGTACGAGTACAGATCCCCAGACTGCTTTAAGAAGCTCGGCATCACCATCAATGGCCTCAGTCCCGGCCCGACCATCACCGCCACGCAGGGCGACACGCTCGTCGTTCAGATCACCAACTCCTTAATCACCGAGAACACCGCCATCCACTGGCACGGGATTCGCCAGGTAATTAATCACTTAATTGCTATTTTAATCTCCTTTTCTATTGTTTTTGGCATCAATCATAAAAAAGATTTGTTCATCTGGCCATGGTATCTCCAATCCTTATACAGAGACGATGAATTTAAGTCCTTAATTACACTATGATTAGTATTAAAAATTATTTATTTGTAATCTTATTTCTCTATTAATGAAGCGCGGCACGCCATGGAGCGACGGCTCTCAAGGGATAACGCAATGTCCAATCCAACCAGGAGAAACTTTTATCTATCGTTTTGTCGTTGATAGGGTACTTAAATCTGAATTTACCAATCAAAATTAATTTTTTTTTGCAATATTGATGTGTATTTATATATAATTAGTTTATTAATCATTTGGATTAGGCCGGGACATACATATACCACGCCCATTACGGGATGCAACGATCCGCAGGGCTGCATGGCTTAATAAGAGTGCTGGTTCCTGAAGGTACGAAAGAGCCATATTCCTATGATGAAGATAGAAGCATCATCCTTAATGATTGGTGGCATAAAAGCACAATGGAACAATCCACAGGGCTTTTATCATTAAATTTTGGCTGGGTTGGCGAGCCACAGGTACAAATAATGCCAATTGCGTTACAGTATAGTATAAATTCATATATTACAATAACGAAAATTCTTATTCATGAGAAAATGCTGGTGTAGTAATTTAATAATACTTTATCTAACAACACTTGGTGCAGTCTCTATTGATTAATGGGAGGGGGCGATACAACTGCTCCTTGGCCGGAACTTCTGATGTGTGTAATATGACAAATCCTGAATGCTCGCCCTCAGTGCTGACAATGGTTTCTGGGAAGACTTATCTCTTTAGAATCGCAAGTGTCACTTCCCTTTCTGCATTGAATTTGGAAATAGAGGTAATAAATTTACACAATTTACACTTTTGACCCTTATAACCTTAATTTTTTAGTCAAATACATCCTTTTTATGTATAGATTTATAACTTCTGGGTGTTAAAACTTGAAATGGTAATTTTTTAGTTATTGGATATGTAATTAAGAGTGTGTGATACGTATGTAAGTTTCACTGAATATAATGGGTTTAATTAATAATTTTAAAAGTCAACTGTAGTAATATGTTGTTAATATTTCTCCTTAAAACTACGATATTCATCAATGGCAGGTCAAATCTGGCCAGGTAAATATCTGGAACGGTATTATTAATCAAAAATTAACTTTTTCTTGACTTTTGAAGCCTTTTACTTTGAAAGCTTGTAACTCTCAATTTGAGTTAAATAACAAGCCCAACTCTGTAACTGCTCGGAAAAAGAATAAATAAATGATTCGAAAACCACGTATTTCAGATTGTTCGAAGATTATTTATACAGGAAGCATGTCCGGATGGTCAATTATTAGGCTTCACGTCATCATATATCTCATTGGAGGGCGACGTGACGTCTGGTGGTTGACTGTCTGGATGTGCAGTCGTCCGAAAGAATTATTTTTTCTTATATCGGACCAAATTTATTATAGACAATATATAAGACATCATCTATATGAAAATACGGATTATTTCAAAGTTTGTTGTTTTTTGCTTGATATTTTTGTTTAACAAAAAACATTTTGTTAAGACAATTATATTCATGTATTGAATTCTTTTGAATGGGATAAGAATTTGACTTTCATTTAATTTATTATGATTTAGTTCGACTATTTTGATTGGCTGGTAATTCTTTTACATTGCTAATTCTAGCCGAGTTGAATTTAATTTAAATTTTGAACATTTAATAGTGTCATAATTAGCATGGTATTATATTATAAGTGAATTTGAAATGAGAAACAAGTATAAGGGATCAAGACCGTTGTTTTCTCTATTGCTGTCATTCTTTCTTTCCCCCAACTCACTTTTCTTCTAATCACTTTCTGTCTTCGATTACCATGATTTGAAAAATCGGATCAAATCAGTCCTTTAGTCGATTCAGTCCAAACTTAAAACTGTTTCTGGAAAGAGTAGGGATTGAATCAGACGGACTCAGGATTGAACCGGAGAGCCGGTGAATGGGTCCGGTCCAATTTTATCTTTGAATTTTTATCGAACTATCTGAAATAATATATTTAAATTTCAAAAATATGTCATGCCTTCAATTATTTATTTAGAAAAGTGTTTAAAACATTCAACAATATTGTAGCAAATTAAAATATTATTTGATGAATCAATATTTCATTATTTTATTATTTAAATTATATTAAAATAATTTTAATATTTTTTATATCATTACACTAAACTTCCGGCTCAATTTCAATTAAACCATTGAATCTTAAATCTTTAGATTTTCACAACATCGATAATTACTAAGCATATAAGCATCTAAGGCTTTGGGCTATTGGCTAAGATACACACAAAGTTTTGAAGAAGTACCAAAGTAGAACTCAAGTAAAGTAAAATCCAAAGCACACTCATTACAAGTCAAAATAAGTAAATAAATAAATAAACATTTACGAGCCGTACAAAAAAAGCAAGTTTATAAATTTGACCACACATCCATCACCACATAATTTACCTAAGTTTTGTAAAAAATTTATCTTTTCAGGGACATAATATGACTATTGTCGAATCTGATAGTCATTACGTCAATCCGGTTACAGTGAAGAACTTAAATATCTACTCGGGTGAAACCTATTCAGTCATCGTGAAGGCAAATCAGGACCCGTCAAGGAACTATTGGATTGCACTCAATGTTGTAAGCCGAAAACCTGCCACGCCCACCGGCACGGCTATTCTCAACTATTATCCCAATCATCCACTAAATCCACCTCCAACCTCCCCACCGCTTGGTCCGCTATGGAACGACACATTATATCGATTCAATCAAAGTAAGTCGATAAAGTCACACCCAAATTATATCGAGACTCCACCACGCACCTCAGACCGACTCATCCTTCTCCTCAATACTCAGAACAAGATCAATGGCTACACCAGATGGTCCGTCAATAATGTGTCATTTATTTTCCCCACAACACCTTATTTAATAGCGATTAAAGATAAATTGCGACAGGTTTTTAGCCAGACTCCAGCACCAGACACCTATGACTATAAAAATTATGACATCTACAGTGTATCAGAAAACCCAAACGCAATGTTAGGTGATTCGATCCATAGGTTGGAGTTTAACTCGACGGTGGATATTATACTACAAAATGCAAACACGCTGAGTAATAATACTAGTGAGACACACCCGTGGCATTTACACGGGCATGATTTTTGGGTGTTGGGATATGGGTTGGGTAAATTTGACCCACGGTTTGACCTGAAGAGCTACAATCTGGTTGACCCGATTCAGAAGAATACTGTGGCAGTGTACCCTTATGGATGGACGGCGCTGAGGCTTCGGTCTGATAACCCGGGGGTATGGGCTTTTCATTGCCATTTGGAAGCTCATTTCTTCATTGGGATGGGAATTGTTTTGGAGGAAGGGGTGGAGAAGCTTGGAAAGCTTCCTAAAGCTATTATGGGCTGCGGTCAGTCAAAGTCGCTTGGAGGAAGTTGAAAGATAAATTTTTATTTTAAATTTATTCTTGGTGTGGATTGCAATATTCATGAAGAAATTTGTAAGAGTTTCTCGTTTCTCTTGTTGAAATTGATCATCATAGAAGAAGAGCTTGTGATTTCGATCAACAAAGAATTCGCATGCAATTTTGAGGAGTATTGTGATTGTCGTCCTTTGAAATTTGTGCACCAGTGGGTGTTTATGTTGTTTGGGAGAAATTTTTTGAACTTGTGTAATGGTTAAGGTTGCAATAAATAAATTATCTCATATTGGAGTGATGAATCTGGTGAATTTAAATTATTATTATTGAATTATGAATTGTCTTTTGTGAACACGCCCCAAAAGTTAGAAACAAACGGAGAAGGTAGAGAGAGTAAGATAAGCTTAGAATTCACTGTGGAGAAAAAACCGAGAGAGGCACCTTCATTTGTATTTTTTCTTTCTATTTATAAGGGCGTGTTTTGTACTGTTAAAAACTCATAATTCATTTGACATTCAAATCAGTTGTATATATTTCATATTATATCTGTATTAAAACTTGATTTTTAATATGATTGTAATTTTCTGATCGATTTGCCTGAATTATGTCGATTAAGGCGACCGGCTGATGTTGCGTTGAGATCAAGATATATATCAGTTGATGTGGTATATATATAAATCAAATAGGTGAACGATCGACGAACTGAAAAATAGAACAAGAAAAATAACACCATAAAAGAACAGTAACACCACAGCAGAACACAGATTTACATGGTTCGGCAAATTGCCTATGTCCACGGAGTTGTAGAGTATTTTACTACTTGAGGAATTTACATCAGTTGATCACATTGACTTACAAGAGGAATCTCTCACTTCGTTGCTCTCTCTTCTTCTTTCTCTTTTCTTCTCTCTTTACACCGAGATGCACCAAAGAAATTCTACACCGAGATACACCGAAGAATACACCGAAGAAGATAAACTTGCTTGCAAGAGAAATAAAATCAATTTCTCTTCTGTCACAAGCCACCAAGAAGAAGCCAAGGAACAACTTTTTGCTTGCACTTCTCTTCCACTGTCCCGTGAAAGCTCAAAGAACTCTTCCTCTATCCTGAGGAAACCAGAAGAAGAAACACAAAAATCGCGATTTCAAAACTTTCTTATCTTTTGTTTGCAACTTAAAGGAGACGGGAGGTGGGAACGGTTCGCGACAATAGTGAGACGCAACTCTTCGCGAATCGGGACCATGGAGCGGCGGGAACAGCAGTTATCGCGAAACCGCAGGTCGCGGTCTAGACCTTTCGCGATCGGGAGAGTGGGAGCGAGAGTTGGCACCGTTTCGCGAAAATGGGAGCGGGAAGCAGGCGCGACCTAGCGGGAGCGGTCCTATTGAGCTCCAGCGCTAACAGCTGAGTGGCTATCATGTCTTGTATTGCTCGGCCGAGGTGTCCGGTTGAGTGGTGAAATCATCCGTCACAGTAAAAGTGGGACGATCGATTGGCCTCGATCAAAGGTTCCCACCAACGCTCTGGTCAGCCAAGATCGCAAACATGGTGTGTCATTCAAATCTTTCGTCATAGTTCTGTCGGTCGATACTTGATCACGTGGTTGGTTGTAGGGCGATAGGATGCATCAATCGTCTGGCCACCGTCTGGGCTGTTAGATTGCTTGGAAATCCATGCTGACATCGTTGGTGTATATAGTTACTATGTTACTCCTTTGTTCATTAATAATACTATTATATTACAATCTCAACTATTGTACTTAATATGTTACATTTTTCAATTCAACTATTATATGAAATATTAAAGGATCTAAAAAAATTCCTATAATTAGAAACAATTTTTTATAATGATATGTAGAGTTTTCTAATTATAAAAGCTGTTGTTCCACTTTTGTGAAATTAAAAGTATTTATGATGCTCATAACAATTTCAAAAAGAATAAAAATACAGCTTATTAAATATTTTTTTACAAATGGTTGCATTTAAGCTAAACATATTATAAATCAAATGTGATAAGTTTTGTAAGTAAAAAGAAGGATATGTACTCCATATGTACATGAAAATGTATCAAGTACTACTTAATTTTAATATATTCTATGAAAGTAAAGCAAAGCCTTATCCGCAATAAGAAACGCAGCGTTGGAGGGAGCTGGGGATGGTGTGGCTGGGTGAGGTGTGCTTAGCAAAGTATTCATATGAGAGCAATAATGTATATAAAG